TCTGACTTTTTTGGATGACAAAAACTGAGGGTGCAAGATAGATATTTTTTATTGTTTGTGAACACAACGTTCTCTGCAAGTAGCTCCGCCCCAGCTTCCCCCTAAATCCCAATCTCAATATAGCTAAGTGCAAGACACACAGAGCCAGATCAAGGCCACATAAGTGCCCCCATAGAAGGTGGCTTGCTATGGGGGCACTTGGTAGGGGCAAGGGGCCAGGAGCACCACTGTGGGGTCCCCAGAAGCGGAGGATCGGGGCTGCTCTGTGCAAAACCACACAGAGCAGGTAAGTATAACATGTTTGTTAGTTAAAAAAAAAAGTCAGGCTTCAGAATCACTTTAAAAAAAGCACTTCAAAAAAATACTCCAGTCCTCAAGGACCACCGACAGGTCACATTTTCCAGGCTTCAAGGCAATTGCAAACTGGCTTTAAACAATCAATGTCTTTGGTTAAAGAGGATCTTCAGTCTTAAAAGTCAGCAGCTACAAATACTGTAAGGTTACAGGTCACAGGTCAAAAATACTGCAGCTGTTTACATTTTAAAAAAAGGACACTTACCTGTCCAAGGTCTTTGGGTCCAGCAGGTTTACTAAGGGAAGCCAGCTGTGACTGTCAACTTCACAACCAGCTTCCCACTGTGCAATGGTCCCGCAGCCAACTGGGACAGGTGTCCAGATGGTTACAGGTGGGGGAGAACTTCCGATACAATCGCCTAGGTGGTCGGAGTGGAAGTGGGAGCAGATACCTGCTAAAACTAGGTATCAGCTATGCCCCCCCAAATAAATAAACCTCCAAAAGTGGGAGAGGAGGGGAGAAGGAGGTGTAAAAGCAGAACTTCCCTTTTAGGGTAAAGTTTCACTGTAAGTGCACATTTATAATGTTTATAAACACTAGTCTGAACGGCATCTGGTTCAGTAAGCATTTACAAAACATTCATAACACACTGAACAACTTTTTCAAACTAGTAAATACTATTCATCTCCACCCCTGGGAGTGTTCAGTACTGATCCTAATTGGAGAAGCTGTCTGTTAATTTAGCAAGCAGACCTTTGCCATTATTAATGAACTTCACTAGGCATCCAGCAGGCATCCAGCATGCAAAGCTCTGCAAAAGCTTACAATATATTTGGAAAATACCTGCTGAAAGTGATGCTAGGGTTTATAAGCAAAGATAAAACATACTTACAACGTATTTCAAATGAAACATAATTTCATCTGGGATCTTACAAAAAGATCTTGCCATCACATCTCTTTAAAACTGAGTACATATGAAATTATATAAATGTCAATGAAAGTGGTAATTAGATTCACTCTGTGCCTTACTTGCATTTAATTAGCCAAACAATCCTAACTAATTGTGTTGTGGGATGAAGAGGAAAGAAAAATTGGAGTTGATTTACTAAAGGCAAAGATGCTACTTAATTTGCAAAGGAATTTTTTACTTTGCTTAGTGAAGGAGGTGAAGCTCTACTAACTTCCATTGTCCAATCACGTGCAAGCAAAAATATTGTTTTTTTTTCCTTGCAAGTAATTGGATATGTTTTGCAAGGTGAATTTTCACATCGACTAAGCTAAGGGGGGGAAATACCTTGCAAAGTACCAATTCCCTTGCAAAAGTAACATCCTATTTGCATTTAGTAAAATCAACCTGATTCATATCGATTGCGGTGCAGCAGCTGCACGGACACAGCCGTTGGTCCCAGTTTGACAGCCATGCAGGTGTGGATGCATCTCCCCTAACGCAGACAGTGTGTATTCATGAAAATGCACTTACACAGCTGTCAGATTGGGACCAGTAGCTGTGTACATGCACAAATAAAGAGGTATGGATGCACGAGGATGCATGGAACACCTGTGCATCCTGTGTAGGTATAGATAGCCTGTCACACAGACGTACAGATAGGTACAACAGTGTGAATGAAGCCTTATAACTGTAATCTAAATAAAAGTTAAGAGCAGGAGAGAAGATAGCATGGATCCACTACGTGGACTGACCATTATTTACACTGAAAAAAAAAAACATTTTTCAGTATTCTGATAGCAACTAATCTACAAATAATGATATTATATGATGAATAAAACAGTGCTGAACATAATATGTACATATCAATACAGAACACATAATTGTGTTTCCCAAGTGTTCCCCAATACACAAAGGGCCGGATACATTCACTGCAGAAGACAGTAACTTTCCTCCCAGACAAGTTTGACATGGGAAGGCATCCAGTGAGCACCACTGTTCTCAATATTTTTGTGCTGTAGTGATGGTTACAGATCTAGCCGTTAATCCCCATGCATGCCAAAAATAACCACAACCTCTATTACTGTTATAGCTCTAGTTCCAGGATACACAATGGACATTATACTGTATACCAAAGGCACAGTTAGATTTCCATCAGAATTTGAAGTACCATTTATCACAGGTGTATGTCTGATGAGAGCCTTAATTGAACCCATAAGACAAGTATTCCTTGTAAACCGCAATAGTAATGCAGATAGAGATTTTAGGCTACTTTAGTGTTGCAAAATTTGCTGGAATCTCATGAGCTAGCAGTGCTTTTCAACTTCTTTCTTTGTGCTGATGACTAAATATGGCAATCCAAACCTCCTGGACTTGAGTGGCCAATATTGAACTTGAAGAGTACACTCAGGAATCTCATACTGAGCATCGAAATAGGCAAAGACGGTATTAATGTGGCCAACAGTCAGACAATATGAAGATGTGCCTGTGAGATATAACAAAAAAATACAAAAAAAAAAAGAACAGCAAATACAGTCAGATACATGTATATGAAATAAATTCATTTAAAAGAGTTTTGCATTAAATACTATCACATTAACAGTAACACTGTGCTGCTTGGTTAATTTATAGTTAAGAAAGGAATATTAAAGTAACTATTAAGAAAACCTGCTTATTTCCTTGAAAGGTAACAGTTATCTGGAAGTGTTATATTTAAACATTACCTAGAATGAATATACTTAAAGTGCACCTATGCCCAGATTGTAGACATTAGACCAGTGGTATAATTGCCACCATAGCAGCCATGCAGCTGCTATGTGACCCAGGGCAAGGAGGAGTGGGGGGCTGGTTGGGATCAGGATTAAGATTCCTGATTGGGATCTTTTGCAGAAACTCATTCATTTGATCTGCAAACGAATGAGAAAATACAAAGTAACTTTGTATTTCTCACCCTTCAAAAGCAAAAAAACACTGTATACCATGTGTGCAAGGATTGCATTTACACATTACCTAGAATGAGTAAAGTTAAAGTGCACCTGTGCCCAGACTGTAGACATTAGGCCAGTGGTGTAACTGCTACCATAGCAGCCAACACATCTGCTGTGGGGCCTAGGGATGGGATTTTGGTATGCAGCAGGATAGGTAAGCTGTTTATTCTGTCCTGACAGCTCGTATGCAGTAGTTCCATGGCTGCGAGGGCTTCTCCGGCCAGTTCACTTGAAATTCAGTGGCCACTGGAGTCCAATAAAAGCAGCCATTGGCAGCCTTTGCAGCTGGCACTGTGTACAGTGATACATTTTAGAGGCTGTGTAGGGACTAGGCTGATTATCCTCCCAGGCAGTGTCACAGACACTTAGTGGAAATCTCCTAGGCTCCATGCTTATGTTAAAATGAGTGTACCACTGCTTTATCGTTTATGGAAACACTGCAGGAAGTCACCAATCATGCCAGCGAGGAAGTGACACCTGGATTCAGGTGAGTATCTATTTTGCTCTGCATATCTTGAAACTGGTGATTTTGCCCTGTCAAGCAGCATTCCCTTTCTGCCTATAGCCCAGAGCTCAATGGCGTGATCTCCTCTTGACAGCTGCCTTATAGTTCTTGCACTGGCAGGAAGTGGGTAGCCGGTGGGCAGTTTTCCTCCTACTAACCACCAACATAAGAGCCACCCAATTAAAGAGTATTGTTCATACTGATTGCACACCTCATTGAGCTTTCTTTCTTCTATGGACCACTAAGGTGAAAATTCTTCCACCTACTAACCACCAGTGTAAGGGAGCATTCTTCTCTCAACTGGCCACCAATATACGTGGGCATTCTTCCTTCTACTGACCACCAATGTAAAAATGGGATTTCTTTTTCCACAAGCATAAGGAAGCATTCGTCTTTCTAGTGAAAACACATGTAGGAGAACCATTATTCCTTCTACTGACCACCAAGATGAAGGAGAATTCTTCCTTCTACTGACCACCCACATAAGGGGGCATGTTTCCATCTACTGACCACCAAAGTAAAGGAAAATTCTTCCTTCTTCTGACCACCAACATGAGAAGGCATTCTTCTTTCTACTGACCACCCACATAATGGGGTATTTTTCCTTCTATTGACCACCAAGAAACATTTAATTTTTACTTAGTTTAGTGAATTAGGTGAAGCTTAAGTGCAAGCAAAAATGTTTTTTTTAAATTGTCCTTGCACATGATTTAGTATTTTTTGTAAAGCGAATTTTTACTTACCTTTAATTCATTCATGAAAGCTGTCATTAAGACTGTTTTTCCTAAAATAACAAACTTGTTATAATTACCTCCTCTGTGCAATGGAATTGCACAGAGTGGCCCCCCTTGCTTCGGGGGCAGACATACGGGCTCGCTCCTGAGCCAGGCTGTGTGCATTCATAGACACACACAGTGCAACTCTGCCCCACCCCTGCTCTCTGCTCACAGGATTTGATAGATAGCAGCAGGAGTCAATGACTCCCGCTGCTACCTCTCTGGTCAATGCAGGGAGAGGAGAGAGCCACTACAGATAGGCACATCGCTGGATCAAGTGGGGAGGTGAGGGGGTGTTACTGCAACTGGGACATTTTTATTTTAATACAGGAAATGCATTAAGGTGAAAATGGTATGATTTTAGAACCACTTTAAGATAAGTAAAATGTACTTTGCAAATTGAACATGCTCTCTACGCATCCAGTAAACCCACCCAACATTTTTTTTATTCTATTTTCTATATTTAATATGAAATATATATTGGCTGTTCTTACCAGAAGCTATGCAAGTAACAGAAGTTGATCCTTTTCCAAAAATTGCAGAAGAGACGATCACTAAGCCAGCATGAAATGGCCATCAACCACAAAAAAAAAAAAGATATGACTGCTACATTAATGATTTCCTTGTCAGTGCACCTGTGCATAATAAGAGAAAAAATATTATATGACTAGTTAAATGCTAAGGGGATTTTTACATTTACCTCTAATTCAGACTCCTCTTCTTATTTCTATTGTCACAATAGATATGCTACAATAATAAATGTATTATCATGATGTATGGCTACCTGGGATTGGGAGTAGTGTGGTAAGGTGGATCCCTCAATGTTGCAGCATTAGAAAAGTCTGAATTGAGAGTTAATTATTTGTTATTAGTGGAAAAGTACATTAACTGGTTAAATCTGAGATATAAAAAATTAAGATGAGATAGAATGGAGGGACTGATGATGTCACAATACTCTCATCCAATTAGAGAAAGTCTTGTATTAACTGAAAAGGACACAACACATATTTGGTGTATGGTGAAGGTGCTGAGTACTGATTAATCAGAACTGATATGATCTGTCCCAGCGTCCCAAGAGAAAGAACAGTAAGAACAAAGCAGTTTACAAACTCGGGACTGCTGCAACAGGCTGTGTGGATGGTGAATCTGCGTCTCACACAGAGGTAAGTGCAGCGAAAAGCTTTGCTTTCTCATGTCAGAGCGTCCAGCAAGGAGAACAGTGAGCAGCACTAGTTGTGACATCACCATATCTATGGCCTCATGTGCATTGCTTTTTCTAAACTTGAGTTTAGGAGATTTTGGAATTTTTTTGCCAAAGCCCCTGATCTCAACTCAGTAAAAGCATATGTCCATGCACACATAGGGGTTTATTTACTAAAGTTGGTTCACTCAGAATCTCGTGTCATAACTGACATGTCTTACACATACAGTATTTGAAAGTTAGGATTGCCTAAATCTGGCTCTGCTTTAATACTAGAAAAAAAAATCCATATTGTCATGCATTTGTATCTATAAAGAGGAGCCAGGAAATGTCTGTTGTATAAGTAACATATTAATATCAACTCAGTGCACAACTTACTTTCTTATCTCCTTCACCAGAACATACAGTATGTGGAAAGTAATACTGTTCAAAACATAGGCATTGATTACAGGCTTCACAAATGACATCAGTGTGGTGACCAATGCTATGATGAAGATCACACCTCCAAACTGACCCCTGTCACATAAGACATATTACTAGGTTACTAAAATATAAACTGCAACAAAAAAACAAATTAAATCAACTGCATCAGTACAGTAAGTGGATAAAGGAAATATGATTTGCTTTTATTACATAGGGACCTTTTTTTCTTGTTTTGCTATAGTTTTGCTTTCTTATATCTGTGAACTCCACAGAAAATGCTGATAATAAATAAAATTGACATGTTAGTTATATATTTATGTAATAATTAATGATTTAAAACAGAAATGAGATACAAAAGAACATACTTTCTTAAAATTAGGTGATACTAGTATGGGCAAAAAATAACTTTTCACACTCCCCCTCAACCCATCCTGCCAGGTAAATTCATCTGAGTATGCATAAGACAGGTTAATTCGGTTGTTAACAAGCTGGCTGGCAAGTTGTCCAAGAACATTGTTCTCTCCCTCTTTTTTCACTATGTGATGCCTGTTTATGTGTCCTTGCTTCATAAGCCAGTTATAGACTTGGGCGGGTGGCCACTTTTATGCATGTTTGATTTTTTGGTACGTGGGTGCACTAGGACCCTGGTTGCCATTGTGCTACATGCTGGGGTCCAGTGCGCTCCTTTGCCTTTAAGAGGGGTGGCTCCCTCAGGTCCACCTGCCCTTGATCTATCCATTAAATGCATGTGCCTCTACTATGGGGACTCACAAATTTTAGAGTTAGGACCACAGATGATCAGGGTGCCGTGTCGTGGCTCTGTGGCTTACGTATGTATTTGCAAATGTGTGCTAACTAAACCCCTGTTATAAACGCATACTGTTAGACAGGTTAATTCGGTTGTTAGCAAGCTGGCTGGCAAGTTGTCCAAGAACATTGTTCTCTCCCTCTTTTTTTCAAATTCATCTGAGTACCCTATACAGGTCCCTCACTACAGCTGTGTCCATCACCGCAGGCTAATCCTCACTGTCTGCTCCTATGACTTCTGCTGGGCTGACATCAGTCTTCTGGATCCTGAGGCACCCTTTGGGACATCAAACAGGAAACGTAGTGATGTGGCCACCTGGAAAAAGGACGTTGTGCAAGATGATCACATGACCGAGGTTAAAGGGTTTTTTTTTACCCCCAACAGTCAGTGAGAGGGAAGAGGTACATATCATCCCATAGTTTAGTTTTAACCAACATTAATCACCAGTGCTCCAAAAGTTCTAATAGTGTGATATATTAAAATTTAACTGCTGGCAAGTACTAAAACATCATTTAAAGTGATACTAAAGCTAAAAACATTTTTTACCTTAATGCATTTCGTGCATTAAGGTAAAAAACTTTTTTTATTTCTCTGCCCTCCCCCTTCCGTGTGAAGGGGAAGAGAGGGGAGAATAGATTCAGCGCTGTGCACAGCACTCAAACAGCAGCAGGAGATGTTGGTTTCTGCTGTCAACCAAATGTAGTGGGGGGGGCGGGGCTAAGTCTTGCACGGCTCCATAGACTTACACCGCTCTTGCACAGGCACTGTGTGCCTCTGTAGCAAATGACTTGCAATGGGGACACACTAAGAAGAGGAACAGCCAAGATCACAGGTGGGGGACTGAGAAGCGGAGGATCGGGGCCGTTGTGTGCAATACCACTGCACAGAGCAGGTGAGTATGACGTTTGTTATTTTTATTAACATTTTTTTTTTTTTTTTAGTTTAGTAACACTTTAATACTATTGTATTTTCCTTTAAAATAATTAAATGTGTGGGGTGTGGCCAAGATGGCACTCTGAGAGATTGTGTCTGCCGGAGCTCTGTGGAATTCTTTGCTCCGGTTCTAGAGTGCTGTGTGATCCGAGCAGTATCTCCCTGCTTCTCGAATACCTGGCAGAACTCCCAGAAAACCTTATTAAGGGAAGAAGTTGCAATTTCCGTAGTGATGGAGACATCTTCCCCAGTGCTGGCTGGCCACGTGGAGGAGCCTGGCAAGGCCTTCTCCATTATGGCATCACAGACCAACCCAGCTGACCCTGCTGACCCTCCACCTCCCGGTCTTCAAGACATTATGGCAACTATTGCCGCTTGTCAGTCCGCCCTTACCACCAAAATAGAAGTGGTGCAGTTGGATGTGGGCCTCCTCTACCACAACATCAACAAAATTTGCTTGCGCGAGCAGCGTTTAGACCAAACCGAGTATTCTACCGCCACCCGCTCCCTACAAATGAAGATGCAGGCCCTGGAGTATAGAGCGGAGGATGCCGAGAAATGCAATTGGTGGAACAACCTCCGCATTGTGGGCCTAGTTGAGGTAAGAACCCGACTGGTTTTGTGGAGGAACTCCTACGTTCGCTGTTGCCATAGGCCTACTTTTCTCCCTTCTTTACAGTAGAGCATGCCCATCACATCCCATCACGCCCAGGTCCTCCTGGATTTCCTCCCCGCACTTTCATCCTGAAGCTGTTCAATTTTCGGTTCCGGGATGAGGTTTTTCAGGCCACGCTCCTCCAGTGGGGATCTCTTCTACCAAAATAGATGGCTTCTCATTTTTCCTGATTATACAGTGGAGACACAGAAGTTACGGAAGTCTTTTGATCAGGTGAAGGCAACACTCCGGGCTCAGAGTATCCGCTACAGTGTTCTTTTCTGAGGGTCCAAGATCGTGAAACGGTCCGTTTTATTTACTTCCCCACATGAAGCTACCAACTGGGTGGAATCTTTACCTCCTCATCGCTGAGCATGGTATCTGTGAGTTCCTTTATTCTTAGTTCTGGGCTTCTCGCTTGGTATTTTCTCAGATGGAGAATACCCCTGCATGACTTTACCAGTTGGTGCCTTGATTTTGCACTAGTTTTTATTGTTGATGTTTACTCAAAGTTGTGCCCCTGGATTATCCAGGTGAATTCTACATTCCTGCTTTTTCCTGTATTACGGCATTATGAAGTTGATCATCTCTCGATCTACTTACATTTCCTGTGGAATACTATTGAATCTCTCCTGCTGTATCCTAGGACTGTTTTGGCTGAACACTTTCCCACTGCCTCCATGCCATCTCACTGTTACCAGCCTCATCAGGAATGGACATTTCTCCAGCTATTTACGTCACTGCCCCTGTATTGCTACACCACAGCTACTCTCTTTTGCTTGTGAGCCGGCCCTTGCACTCACGCCCTGTCTGACTGAACTTTTTGTTGGGTTATGTTTGGGGATCTTAGGCGGACCATGTTTGGGATGGTTTTGCAGGGAGGGCTTCCCAGCTGCTGTCTTTGGGCTGGGGGGATGGGATGTTTTAGTGTTTTTGTATTTTTTTTTTGGTTTTTAACTGCGGTACAGTTTTTATGGTTTTTCCATGTGACACAGTGTGTTTTTTTTGTTTTTTTTTTAAGATTAATATTTAACTTTATTGATATTACATATAAATACATCTTACAAAGAAGAAGAAAATAAAACATATCCATATAGTACAATACATACTAACTTAACCAATGTACCATCTCATTTATATATAAAATATAATTCATTTAGTCCAGATCATTAGTACATATCCCATCCCGACTTATCCATCATATACTCTGAGCAGATAATCACATTCCTCACACTACCCTTCCCTTCCTCCTCCCCACATCATAATGTACTTCCCTTCTACCTTACACACATACATAACTTATAACATATCTTTTTCTAGTTGTCTCTATTTCCCCTACCCATTTAGTTACTCTTTATTTATTTTACAAATCCATATATTTATTATCCACTTACCATTAACCTTTCCCTCACCCACTGCATAGGCATTACTTATATGTTATTAACCCATTTACCCCATATTTTAGCAAATTATCCAGACTACCTCTGTGATGGTATACCATATGTTCTTTCTGTATTACTTCATTTACCATTTTAACCCATAATGTATAATCTGAGGGGGTCCTGAGCAACCATCTTTGTGCAATCAATATCTCCTCTATTATGCCAAAAGAGAGATTCTATTAAAGTGGAACTCTGGGGATCCCCCAGTGACTTAATCCCGGGAATCAGCTGTGATGCAACCCTTCCAATGTACACGCTTACTAAATATTAATAGGGGCTGTCCCTTTGCTAGGATTTCTCAGTGGGGACTTATGGTAGCCTCTCCTTCCTTTCTCCTCTATTCTTTACCTATTTATTTTCCCCCTCCCCCCTCCCTTTCCCTTCTCCCTTCCTGTTTTCTGATATCTATATTCTGTTCCTTATACCGTTGGGTTTTTCCCTCATACTGAATCTATTGATGCAATATTGGACTGATTTTCCATAATTGTTGTATGCAGTCTGTTCTGCTTCTCCATTCCTTTTGTCCTACATGTTATGCAATATATTGTTAATGCTCATCTGTATTGTACTATAACTACCATGTCAAAAAACACCCTATTTTGTAAAATGATTAAATGCATTTTTTTATATACAACTTGCATACCTAATTCTGTTTTGATATGGGGCTTCTATCATCCCTTTCATTGCAGCGGTATGGAGAGGGAAGGGCAGTGATAGGAGAATATCAGACTATGCTGCATGTATATATGCTAACATGGAATATGCATACAGAAGAAAACAGTGTTAGTGCAGCCCTTCCATGAATTTAACTTGTGTCTTCTTCTGGGGAGCTAAACTCTTAATTTAGGGGTAGGATCTAATAGAGCCCATTTCCAGGCAACTAAAACATTTTGGGCTGCACCTGCACAGAGTTAATGCTTGTTTTGACTAGGGGAGAGGAGAAAGAGTTTTACTAATTTGACCCTCCGCTCCCATTGCAGGCAGTGTTTCCCCATGCTCCAACAGTGTAATGTGCCTCGGCGTCATCACATCCAATGAAGGGCTATGGACCCTGGTTTGGTCTTGATGACATTAGAACCATAGACTGCTGGAGTGTGGGGGAGAAGAAGCTGTAGCGGTCTAACTGCAGGGAGGAGTGGAGGACTGGATAAATCCTCTTTTTTTCTTCCCCTAGACCTAAATGTGCAATTAACCCTTGCAGTGCAGGCATAGCCTCACAGCCTGGGATAATTTTGTAGTTGCCTGGAATTGGGCTTTAAACGAACCTCTTTATCCATAGTAATCCACTTTATACTTTAAGAGACTGTAAACAAAAACTGTAATATATAATCCTGTTATTTATACTCAGAGACTGAGAGACAGTGATCCCAATTTTCTAAAGGATATGCGCATACAACGGCACAGCGATTGCACAAGCAAATTCCATGCTCACAATGCACCTACAATGCGCGCACAAGCTATAGCATAAATACAATTAATTTACAAATAAGTGTGTTTTGATATGAAATGAATGGTCCATTGTCCAGTGTATCCTGACTAAGCCATGACCTACTTAAAATATAAATGTGATTTTCTTCAGTGTTTTATGGACTATCTAACTGTGCATACCATATAGGAATAAAAACATATGAAGTGTGTATGGCTATTATTAAAGGAAAGTGCAAAAACGGTCATCTGTAAAACAACTTAATTGAACTGTGGGCGTTGAATCACCAGCCATCATATGAGATTCCATTCACTGGTGCTTGGAATAGAGATGACAATAATAAATACCCAAATATATGCTGCCCCTTTCCCTACAGCAGCAGAGCTTGCAGGTTTGTTGACATTCCAGTTAGCTTCATAGAAGTTTTTATTGCTTAGTGAGCTGATCCCATTTGTTTTTGTTTGTTTTATTTTTTACATTTTGTTTCAATTACTTTTTCAAATATGCACAGTATACATTATAAGAACATAAGCCACAAAAGCAGCATTATTTTGATGTGTACCATGCATAGCAATCTAAGATAACACTGCACATTATAAACATAAGTGTATGGACAGCTAGACAGTTTTTTCTAAGTAAATCAGGCCCATTGTTTTGAATTCAGATGGTTAACAAGATAATAACTACAAGCAGGTGACCTCTGAGTCTTAAGGCTCATATCTATACAGCTGGTATTTCCCAGCATTTTATGAACTCTGGCAAAACTCTACAAATGCTTGAACAATGTTGCTGATGCACGTGCCCCTGTGTGCACTCATGCATTGATGGAAACGACTGCTGCAATGTTATTTAGGCTCCAGGCTGCATCTGAACTGACAATACATGTAGCACTACCAGCTTGGTCATTTGGGTTCTCTGTTCTGCATGTCAACACCAAGAACAACCTCAATCCCTCTGACACATCTGGATGAATAAAAGTCACTTCAAGCACTTAAAAAGCAGGAATATAGATACCCTTAATTTGACTGTGAATTAGTATCAGGAAATAGACACAAGACTACACAAGACTTCCATCCATGGTGGGAGGAAAGAAAATTGATTAATCTATGGCTTGCCTAAGAAGTAAGAGGCAGCAGAAGACAAGTAAGAAGTAGGAGGCAGCAGAAGACACAGAAGGAAGTTAGAGGCAACAGAAGACACAGCTGCACAGAGGAAATGAGAAGATAAGAGACTGCAAAGACCCAGCTAGGCAGAAGACGTGAACAGTAAAACCTGGTATACACTGGACACAAACACTGTTAGAAATTTGTACATTAGACAAAAATTAAAAAACTCAGTTTTCCATCCTGCTCAACCTGACCCCACTAATGAGTAAAAAAAATGTACATTCTTAAGAATGTTCTTACAATGAAAAATATCAAATGAAATTCTAGTATGTACCCATATTTAGAGGCTGCAGAAGATACAGTCTAATAGTAGAAGAGAGGGGATGAGAGACTGCAGAGACCAGCCTTGCAGGACAGGAAAGCAGTGAAAGATACTGTATAAGGGATCAGGGCCCTTCAGACTAGAACCTTCAGGGCCCGGTGCAAGAAACCATGAAGGGCCCCCCTTCAGTCAAAACAGCATGAGAAAATGTGAGCATGATTAAGATTATGCAAGAGGGCATGGCCAGTGGGAGTATCTTAATGGGGGACTAATCAGAATCAATGCCTGCACTGAACAGTGAACACGTATACTACAGTCCTTGTACCCACATTACTAAGGGTAATTTTGGAGGATGTAAGGAGGCACTCTGGAGGATGTAAGAGAGTACTCTGGATGTACTAAGTTATTACCTCCAGATTGCCATTTTACACCCTTCAGAGTGACCCCTTACATCCTCCTTCAGAGTGCCCCCCTTAGTACCTCCAGAGTGCCCCCTTACATCCTCCAGAGTGCCCTCTTAGTAATACTGAACTAAGAGGTAAAGAGGCACTCTGGAAGCACTAAGTTAGTGCCCCCTTATGTCCTCCTGCCTCTTCAGTGTGCCCTCAGAGTTAGTCCCCCTTAAGTCCTGCTCCTCCAGAGTGCCCCTTTTCACATACCTTTTGGCCTGGCCTCAACTCAACTCGTGAGCAGCTGGCAGTAAAACTCTTTAGAAAATAAATCTTTTGCGGCAACTCTGAGCTGCTCATGTACAGTGCCAGAGCCAGACGAATATGGAACTGCCTCTACTCATGCGGATGGGTGTGTGAATATAAGCCACTCCCTGTCCAATTTAATGCAGTTTTTTAATCGACTAGCTCTGTAACTGTGGATACGCAGTTCAGAGTCGCAGTCATAGTTGCAGAGAAGGATTTTTGTTTCATCGCCGGCCACTGACAAATTGCGAGTCAAGGGCAGCCAGGCTAACAAGGAGCTAACAAGGAGGAGCACTTTTCTCCTGTTTACAAACAGGAGAAAAGTGCCTGTCTTGGCAACACTTTGTCTTGGGCACCCCCATGGTGGCAGAATGCTAGCACCCAGTCACAAGTGTGGCCTTTAAGACCCTGGTAGTTTCGCCACTGTAAGGGATATACAGTATACTACCAGTACAAAGACAGACCAGAGGTATACATGAATAATCAATAGTGATCCTAATCCATGATCAACATGATCATTTGTTCAGAGGTGTAGCTAGGGGGGGGCAGGGGGGGTACATATGTACAGGGGTGCCAAGGTACAGGGGCGCCAAAATGAGGTCACAAGATCACTGCAGCGGCTGCAGCAGACGTGTCATCTGATACATCTGCCATCCTCATTGAGTAGTGAGAGGAGAGAGGAGCCGGCCGGGAGAGGAGCGGAGAGGAGGGCAGTGAGCCGGGCATGTGCCGGAGGGGACGAGGGGAGAGCCGAGCCGGGCGAGTAGTGCCATGGATGAAGGGGGGGGGCAATGTGATCGGGGGGTGTCTACAGGGACCATATGAAGCGGGGGTGGGGTGTCATGAGGTGGCTGTTCGACCCCGGGCTCAAAATATCCTAGCTACGCCTCTGCATTTGTTACAGACATTAAAGTATATGTGAACCCTCACCTTGTAAACAACCCACTCAGTTTAAAAGAGAAATGAAAGGAAAAATGTTTCTGTATCTCTCTCTCTCTTGTTTTGGCCATTGGAGGACAGGCAAGCTGTTCTTCTAGCACAGCAAGAAAACTGACCACACTGGGATGGATGTGCTCTGATGCCTAGTGTAGTCAGTTTGAAATAGGAAAGCAGCAGAACTGGCAGGATCACCAAGTTTTTCACACAAAGGAAGCCATACATGGAGAACAGGATACTTTTTAACACATGTACATGGTACAACAGACACATATCAGGAATCTGAAATGCTGGGGTAACATATTCTTTAATAAATGACCTTCAAATATTGTATCAGTCCTACCTGCTTGTGATGAATTTGGGAAAATAAGGCTGAGGAAACCATATAGAATAGCCAAGGCAAATAACCCACAAAATGGAGATTTCATCGAGTAACTGGCCAAAGAAACTAAGGGTCATGTGGTAGTATATAGAGAAGAGACCTAAAGTGAAAAATGTTATGCGTGAATCCATCTGATCTTGCTAGGATGGAAAATCATATTGAAAAAATATACAAACAGTTAGCAGTAAAATCTCGGTCAGAACAATAAAACTCTTGGTTGGTTGAAAGGTACTAGGGCAACAAATAATATGTGATATACAATATATTGTATATACAGTATATATATAATATACACGCACACACAAACAAGCACGCTATCAGTCCTACCAATCACAGTGAACAAGATCCAGACTCCGTGAACCATCAGTGTCCTTCTGCAGGCATATGGGTGTAACAGGTACATCATAAGGGGACCCACCAAAAGGAAGGAAATATTACTGACCTGTAAGTAATTTGTACACAATATTAAATACTTAAATATAAAATGTAGTTAACTGTTCTTTCACTCTTCATTTTATTAGAATATTTAATGAACACATTTTTAAAAAGAAAACCTTTCTAATCAGTTACATATTCTAACTAAATAGTGGGCAAAAGTGTGCTTTTGTGAAGAAACATTGTATATGAAGGATTTTACTGTTATTGGATACATTTATGGAGAGTCAACAGTTTCTTATGATCCACTAGATAGCTTGTTTAATAAAGCAAAGGTCAATGTGCAAATTGCAGTATCCCATAGCAACCAATCATTAATATACTTTAACTTTTCTGACTGCTGTGAAAGGCTAAATCTGATTTGGTGCTATGGATACTAGATATGGATGGTACTTTGTAATCCCCTTTTAAATAAGCCTGGGAGTGCACTGAAAAACCACTAGAGGATTTACATTTATTCATTAAAATGGTAGCCTAAGCTTAAGATAAAACCAAGTGCAGTAGTACACTTTGGGGTTGATTTACTAAAGGCAAATAGACCTTGCACTTTGCACTCTGCAAGTGCAGTTGCTCCAGAGCTTATTAAATGAGACACAGTTTCACTTTGCAAAGAATACCCAATAACTTGCAAGGAAAATGTAAAAAATAGCATTTTTGCTTGCATGTGATTGGATGATGGAAGTCAGCAGAGCGTCTACTCATTTATTATTTAACCTCTTGCCGTCCGCCTGCTGTTTATAAACGGCAGGGCAGTGGCAGTCCAGGGGCGGGTTGCCGTTCCTAAATGGCACCCGCCTTTTCTAGCTGTGCGCGCTCCCTGGGAGCGCGCACCACCGCGATCCGGTGCCTGCTGTGTCCTCCGGACACAGTGAAACACCGATCGTCGGACGGGACCTCTGTACGAGGTCCCGATCATGTGATCACTGATTGGCGAATCAGTGATCGCATGCAAAGTAGTAAGCAAGATGTCACTTGTGACATCATTGCTTACTACGTGTGAAATCTGTGAATGATCACAGAGGTCACATGGTACAAGGCTATTCACAACAGCCTTGTACCATGTGACAAGCTGTGACCAATCACAGCTCACTCAGTATTTCTCAATGACTGCAAGAATGCAGACAGAGAGAAAGAGAAATGATTGCTTTTACACCCTATATGGGTGTAAAAGCAATCAGTGTAAAAAAAAAAAAAAAAATCTTCATTACCCCCCACAAGTAGTAGAGTGTCACCATGGTAACACTGTACTGCTAGGGTGACAGTATGTAAAAAAAAAAATTAAATAAAAAATAATAATATAAAAATAATAAAATAAAAATGTAAAAAAAAATGTTTAAAAATTATAATTTTTGGTTATAATCTAATTTGGATTTTTTTTTTTTACTAAAAAAATAACGGAATAAATTTTGGCCAAGATTTATGATGAAATATTATTTATTTGCAAAATTTTATTAAAAAACACTTTTTTTTTCAAAATTTTTGGACTTTTTCATTTACATAGTAAAAAAAATAAAAATCCCAGCGGTGAATAAATACCACCAAAATAAAGCTTTATCTGTCTCAAAAATATGGTAAAAAATTCATATGGGTACAGTGTTGCATGACCGTGCAATTGTCATTCAAAGTGTGATAGCGCTGAAAGCTGAAAATTGCCCTGGACAGGAAGGGGGTGAAAGTGTCCGGACAGGAAGTGGTTAAGCTCTGGAGCGACTGTTCTTGCAGAGTGCACAGTCTAATTGCCTTCAGTAAATCAACTCCTTTCTATTGAACATCACAGCCAGGGTGCAGAATGACACACATACAGATAACAAAAAAGGACACAGCAAAACACAAATTTGGCAAAATATTTTGCATGGCATTTTGATTTGCTAGTTAATGCACTGAACTTTGTCTTGAAGTCAATCATTTTTACTGATTGACATATGAAACTGTTAACTGATACCTGTTTTATGATATTAAGCCCTGAAAGGTCATAGCTTTATGCAAGCACAACAGTATGCATAAAAATACCATAAAATATAAATATAATCATAAGAATTCCTATGTGTAATAACACATCCATTGTAACTTATATTGATATTAGATTCACCTTAGAATCCTTTGATTTCCACAAATGTAAAGGCCCTATGTCAAGTGTGTTTATGAAGATAATACGACTCTAAGGTACTGTACATCTTAAGATAATGAAACATTTAAAATGTTACAATTAACACTGACGAAGAGCACACACAATGAGATTTTGTTTCAGATCTAAAATAAAAAAAAAATCAAACAGTTTAGTGTGAGGATACCTGACTTAATATAATTTGAAAGGGATTTTTAAAGGCAAGCACTTACAATGCTATGGATGTTGTTATGTTTTTATGATAGATCAAATATGAAACATATACTTACTGTATGTGACCCTCTTGTAGCCTAGACTGTGATGGATAAACAGATTGACAAGAAAAGACACTGATTGTGACTGACAGACATTCCTAAGTGAATTGCTTGCCTGATGTCAAGCCAGTCATTTTTCAACTAAATCATATCCACTTGGAAAATAGTTGCCAAAAAGGGGCAGAGTTTAGGGCAGGGGTAGGCAACCCTGGAGAGTTGCAGATCTACCTGAACAACATGGAAGAAAAACAAAACCAGGGTGCAATTAGCTTTTTTTTAAGGATAACCTAGCAAGGCCGCATTAGAAAAGTAATGAAGGCCGGTTTGAAGAGTTCAAGGGTAAGTAGTAAGTAAGGCACAGTTCATGGGTCAGTAGTAAGTAATGCAGACTTCAGGGGTCAGTAATAAGTAATGCTAAGTTCAGATGTCAATAGTAAAGCTCAGGTTAGATGTCAGGAATACAGATTACATTTTTAGTGTATCTAAATCTGCTAGTACAACTAACACGCTGTGACCCGGGGGCCAGATGTGGCCCTTTGCTTGCCTTTATCTGGCCCTTGGGGCACTCCTCCCACTGACACCAACACTGGGCCACTATTGCTCCCACTGACATCAATGGCAGGGCACTATTCTTCCCACTCACACCAATGATGGGGTACTATTCCTCCCACTGACACCAATGAAAGGGCACAATTTTTCCCACTGGCATCAATGATAGGGCACTATTCCTCCCACTGACACCAATGATGGGGCATGGTTTGCTCCCATTGACGCTGGGCATTTTCTACTCTCACTGACCACAATCTGTCTGAAGGACAGTAAATTGGCCCTTACTTTAGAAAGTATGGAGACCCCTGATCTAGAGTGATGATACAGGAGGTGTGTTACTGGCCAGATTACTTAGGAAAAAAAGAGAGAAAAAAAGCCTAAAAAGAGAAAACTGATGCAGCCACCACATCTAATGATTGGTAAGCTGTAACATGTTACATTTTGGGTTTTGGATTCAATATAGCTTTAAGTAGAATAATAGTAAATTCTAAATCTGCCTCATTCAGCTAGAGATGCACATACAACTAAAAGCAATTACCAGAGGTTTTTGATTTACTGGTCAACTGACTCAATGTGTATGAACCTATGTTAGAGATACAAAGTACAATGCACATTACAGGGTCACGAGGATGTAATCAATATACTTCTCACAATTACACAATTTCCACCCTGCCCTTCTTGAACTTTAACTTACACAGTATCATGATTAACAGAATTATAGCAGGTGATGCTTAAGTCAACATTCATAAAAGAACAGGGAAAATCTAAAATTGTTTGTGAATACTAGATTTCATTTTTAATTTTAAAAACACTTGACTGATCCTATTTACTAATGCATTCTGAGCTATAAAGGCCCACATAATTTTATAAAGAGCCCCAGAACTAGTATATACTTTTTCCTATTGATAATTGTTAGCAAGCTTTTCTTGAGATAAACATAATCCATTATAGTTTCAAAGGCAACAGTGCTGTCTAAAGCTGGCCATACATGGATCAAAATTTGACAGGTTCAGAAGGGACCGGCCGAATTTCGATCCATGCAGGGGCAGGCTGGTTGTATAGAAATCAATCTGGTTAAGTTGATATGGTTAATCAGGCTATAGATTAGTCATTTTTTCTGTAATTAAAACAGTGTGTCGAATGAAAAAAAAATGACACGATTGATGTGGATGGGGGAAACCTCCCAAATGAGGCTTTGTGTTTTGACAGTGGGGGGACTTCCCCACCATTTGTACACACTGATCAGTGCTGCCAGCTATAACTAGTGGCATTGATCAGACAGGGAAAATCCAGCAAGTTGGTTGTAGATCAACTTCTGTAAAACCAGTCTGCCCATTAGTTTCAGGGGCCTGGCTTCATGGCTAAGCTTTGTCAACTGCCATTTTACTGTCCAATGGGACTGTGTTGGGACTATTAAAGGAAAAGTACACAGAGCAGTTAACCTTTTTGCCACCGGCCTACTGCATTACCTTAAAAAACATTTATTAAAGCAATAAAAATAGGTATTGTACTCACAAATGACAATAATGTCAAAGGCACATCATGAAAGAACAGCGCTGTCCAATCCACACAGCGTGTTTGTCCACAATGGGAACCCTGGACTTCCAACATGCTAATGCATTTGGAGGACTTGCCTCTTACTCTGTGGAAGAGGCAAGACCTCGAAATGCTTTAGCCTGTTGGAAGTCCAGGGTGTCCATCGTGGACAGACGCACAGTGTGGATTGACAGTGCTGTTCTTTCATGATGTGTCTTTGACATTATTGTTGTTTGTGAGTACAATACCTATTTTTATTGCTTTAATAAATGTTTTTTAAGGTAATGCACTAGACCGGTGCGCCCTCTGTTTGTTTTCTTTATATCTGGTACATTTGGACTTCTCCAGTCTTCTGAGGGCAGCAAGGAGTGCACATTCCCGGACATCCGAGATGTGGTCATAGCCCATATTGATTCCATCCCCAAGCGCAGGAGTATTTGGGTTTGTAACCTTTTTGCCACCCCTGCCCAAAAGTACTCCCTCCATTGATGCATACTTACCTGTATTCTTCAGTCTTCCACATCTGTTTACATCCTTTGAACA